GGTACGCCAGCATTCAACTCGTTGCCCATAGGAAGACGTTACTTGGATAGAACCTAACCAAATGTCTTCAAACAGCTCCAAATGACTCAAAACTCACATGAGTGAGTAGAATATGATGTAATAACGTAAAATCAAGGGCCCAATGTATAAAAACCTGTGTTCCCCTTTATGTTTGAACGGGAGCACCTTGAAATTGACCGAACGGAGGAAGAGGTTTGGCTGAAGAAGCTGGTGTTTCTGCGGCTGCTTCTAGGAGATGCAAATTGTTTACTTTTCCGAATAGTGCTAGCTCCAGCCAATATAGAAAAAGTATATCACAAGCTGAGAAAGTGACGCAGTGTGGTGTCGTTCACATTCAAACACCAGTCAAACTAAATAAGATCTTAAAAAAATTAAATAAAACCAAAAAACCTTTGGTAACCTTGCCTTCCTAACAGGTTTCCTGTGTAGATACCAGGCCTGTAGGACCTAACTCTGTAATCATGTAGTCATGCATTGTACAGGTAAAAAAATGATGACCTCCATGGTTGAAAAATATAACAAGGATACAGAATTTTTTTTAAGCATTACAAATGCTATTTTTAATTGAACAGGAAAATTTCAAAAATATTTAGGTCATATTATTCAACAAGTCATGGTTAATTTTAAAGGAGGGACTGTCTGAGTAAACCAAATTGCAAACAATCTGATGGCTACTCATATGGCCTTTATGACCCTTTATGTCCACATCTTACATGCCTACATCTTAAAGATCAGAGAAAAAGGCTGGGAGACTGGAAATGGGTGGCAGTGAGGAAACTGTGCATTAATTGCCACAATAATCTACCTAAACAGACAGCTTTGACCAATAAATAAGCTATTAGAGGTGAGTATTGGCATGAGTGTTTCGATACATGTCGCGATACTTGGGTCACGATACGATATTATCACGATATTGCAGTATCACCATATATTGCCATATTTTCTCCAGGTATCAAAAATCAAATGATGAGATAAAACAGCAAGCGCTGTATATTTTCATCAGAAAATATTGATTAGGTATTATTATCCATGTTGTTTGGGGTTTTCTTCCACTGTGACTGCCTCAAATACAGATTTGGTGCTGTACACACAGGTAAAGGGCTCCACAGCGCTCTCTGCCAGAGTGGTGGTGCAGAGGTAGCCCATTTTCCCATCAATGTTTTATGTAATCATATATTTTTTTTGAAAATCGATACTAAGAAGTGAAAGATCGATATTATATTGGGCAGCCGAATATCACAATATATATCGCCAAAAGGATTATTTCCCACACCCCTATAAGCTATAATCTCTTTTTTTAATTTACTAAAGACTGGTAAGGTGAAAAGTAACAGTTTCAGAGAGAAGAACCCGGGATCTCATGTAAGAGCATGTTGTGTTGTTTGGAAATGTTTAAAAGCATTACATCTGAATGACTGGACACAAACATACAAGTAAACATGTTCAAGCAGACAGTCTTCATAATACTAGTCTAGGTTTGTTTTTGTTTTTTTTACTGCGACACTGTACTCTGTTCCATCTGCTGAGTGATTAAGCCTCTACTCCTAATCAAGCCGTTTGCACAGATGACAACAGCATAAAAAGGACACAAGCTCATGTGCATTTCTACCCATTACTTAAAGGAATAGTACACCCAAAACATGATTAGCCTTCATTTTCTACTCACCCCCATGCTGAACAACACTCTGGAGTACTTTTTTGATATCTCAAATGCATCTGGAGATCTGGGAGGCTTCTTGCTGTCTGCTGACATTCAAATAATGGAGGTCTATGGTGTCCGAGACAGAAAGGTCCATTAAAGTCCACAAAAAACGTGTCAATATTCCTCCATACTGCTCGTCTAATGTATTCCAAGTGTCCTGAGTGGGTAGCGTCCATAATTTACTCGAAACGAAGTCATTTAGAATGTTTTTAGAGCATAAACAGTAGTGTATAAGATTTCCTGAAAGCGCGCACATGCGTGTTCACGAGCCTACGGAAGCCGGCAGACCAAACCAGATGAAAGTGCGCATTCAGCGTCTGCTCTGCCAATAATGCAAGCGTAGAGGAAGAAATGTGCTGTTTACCTATGCAAAGAAAGAAACAACGAAAGAAAAATGTCTGAGGACTTCAGTGTTGAGGAAGAGCATGAGTTCTTTGCCGAGCTGAATGCGCTGGTCTGGTCTGCCGGCTTCCGTAGGCTCGTGAACGCGCTTTCAGGAAATCCTATACACTACTGTTTATGCTCTAAAAACATTCTAAATGACTTCGTTTTGAGTAAATTCTGGATGCTACCCACTCAGGACACTTGGAATACATTGGACGAGCAGTATGGAGGAATATTGACACGTTTTTTGTGGACTTATGGACCTTTCTGTCTCGGTCACCGTAGACCTCCATTATTTGAATGTCAGCAGACAGCAAGAAGCCTCCCAGATCTCCAGATGCATTTGAGATATCAAAAAAGTACTCCAGGGTGTTGTTCAGCATGGGGGTGAGTAGAAAATGAAGGCTAATCATGTTTTGGGTGTACTATTCCTTTAAAGTAATAGTCATACTCTAAACTGTGATGCATTAAAATACAGTCGAGAGAAAAGTTTACAATTTGTTCACATTGCTATTGTGATTACTTTATAAATAGCTAGTGGTACAACTGACAGTCATATAAAAAATATTGTGAATGATTTATAGTTTTACAAAAAAAAAACAAAAAAAAACAGTCAGGTCATAGAATGATTATATAGGGTATTTGGTGCTCGTCCTTAAGGTCTCTGAATAGGGTGTGTAGCATTGGTTTGGCTGAAAATGGCATATCTGCTGTTCTATGAGCCCTAATGCAAGCCTGGTAAAAAGCTCTAGAATGAAACAACAGGTTTTCTTCCTTTTATGGTATGCTCATGAATATTTAGATGAGCTGTGTGCAGATTGGTTGGTTTACAACTAGCGAAGCTAGCAACAAGAACTCACTCACTGAAACATCGAAATTGGTGACCAGACATCCTCTTTTTCCCAGAAATGTCCTACTTTACATAACAAAAAAAATGTCCGGGGGAATTTCAAAATCGTCCAGGATTTTGGTTGACTACAGTGCAGCAGAACAGAGCTGTGAGCTCCAGGGCTGGTTCCGGGAACCGCGGCAGACGGGGACAATGGAGCCAGCGGGGGAAGGAGCGACCAAACCAGACCAGGTGACGGTAGCCCGGACACCCGCAGCCCCGTGCACGGAAGCACGGTAAGGCAGGCTGGGGGGGAAGCATACCGTCACGGGTTGGGTCGCTCAGTCCCCGCTGGCTCCCTGCCCCCGTCCGCCGGGGTTCCCGGACCAGGGTTTGAATGCTCAGTCTGGTCCAGTCCAGCCACCACTCCCCCCTCCTCTTTTTCAGAAACACAAATCTGGTCTCCTTAGATATGCTAGCATTGCTATCAAGAGCTTAGGGACAGAATCATTAGGGTCTTACATCTTTGCGACATCTATTCATGTTGATGGGCCAATGAACCAGTGGGCTGGTCTGTATGTCAATTTCGGGGTGTGACAAAAGTACAGGCCAAAACCAAATAAGGCAACATCCCTGAATTGACGTCAATTTTGATTCGCCCCGTTTTATTAGAATTGTGAGATCTGCATAGAAAGGAGGCTACAATGGGGTTTGAACTTCTCTGTACCTCCATTTCACCCACTGAACTATCGTTATTCATCTATCAAAAAGATTGTTTTGCATTCTATGACCCCTTTAAAATGAATGTCCAATTTCTGCAAAACAAGGTCAAAAATGTTGCTTCTTTTGATTTTTAACAATCTTCCTCTTGAATCATTGTGGTGACCAATGGTAAGGGGACCTGTTTATACAGATGTTAACAACTACTGTTAACAGTTTATACAGATTTAATCATAGTTGCCTAATGATTAAGTTACCCAAGAATGATATAATAAAAAATGTAAGACAGTTCTAAGGTATTTTTTGTAACAGTCTGCCCTCTGTAGTTGGGCATAGACTGTACAAGCCCGATGTGAAGGTTACTCCTGTTAAACTCTACAATGGAAGATGTCAGGACTGCACAACTACAATAGAGGAGGGTCAGACAGATCCAACAACAAATGGATGGCAAGTTATTTTGGGAGTTTGAGGCTGAGAGGAGGGAATGGAAGATGAGTAAACAGAGAAGAAAAGCCTTCATTGTTGGTCAAAACAGGACAAAAAAAAAAAAAAAAGAATCAGACATTGGTCGCAGCAAAAGTCCCCCATGCTGCATTTTAACTGAAAATGTCTGACATTGCTTGGTCTGTTAAGTTTTTTCACCAGTCCGTGTTTCTCTTGTAGCAACAGATATCACTACATATGAACCCAAACAAATGCAAACAGTTTAATGTCCAATCTGTTTCAATATAGATAACAAACGTTAGCTTATTAAAGGAAGGCTAGAATACATTGGACACAATTTTTAGATATGCAGTTGGTCCAAGTTGGTATGGTTCCTCTAATTTGAAATAAAATGTTTGTGTGGTCTCATAAAAAGGCAAATAATGCCGCCATAGCAAATCCTAGCCAACCCCAGGTGGATTAGCACACGTTATACAGATTATGTAGCTTACCTTTAATAAGAAGTAGCTCAGAGGGAAAATAGTTCCAATCAAAAGAAGCTCAAAAAGTGAAAAACTCTAAACTTATCAACTGGACTGGGGACTCTGACATTTGAAAGGTGTTTGAGAGGTGAAACAGGTCTGTAAACAATGAATGTGCGTCACCTGAAATGTCCCCAGACAGTTTGTTTTAGATTCAGATCCCCGATATACAAAAAAGAAGCAATAGAAATGATCAGCCATATTTAAAACATGAAAATAATTAGCCAAGAGAGAGTCTTTGCAAAAAGTAACAAAGGTCAAAAAAACATATCGGCTGACTGTTAAATATTTACTAGATCAAAACGTTAGATCTCTTGAATAAAACAAAGATTGCAGAAATAAATGAGAAAATGTGAGGACAGCATGTGTTATACCTCACCTTGAAAAGCACAGACTTTTAAAGTACTTTATTCACGGGGAGCCTCATTTCCCTGGTTATGGAGAACTGCTTCTTCCTGTGAGGCAACATCAAACAAATAAGCATGTTAGACCTAAATAAGCCAAACGGAAATGGTAGAGACAATCACTTATGAGAGCAGGACTACTTCTCAAAGAGTAAGGATTAATGAGCAGATGTGAGAATTGTTGGCTATTAATTTAAAATTACATTAATGTGATACTGCAGAGTCAACAAGCAGATGTTTGCTAAGCTATTCTGGGGACAACAGTGAGTTTCAGTGCAGCAACCTCTAGATCAGAGTGTTGCCTTAACAACAAGCCTCGTCAACAGTGGTGACTTCACCAGGCAGGTAGAAGAGCAGTTAAAACACAGAGTTACATTTTCCACTTCATCCAGAGGGAAAATGAAAAGAGCCCAATTAAGAAACAAGTGCAATAAATTATCAGACATATTGCCTCATCTGTGTTGACATGCTGTAATACTTCTGGAACTGTAAACCGTGCTGTAGAGGCCTGTCATTTATGACTTAACTTTTCTATGAACTGAAGCCTGCAATAAAACAAATCTAAAGCAGAACTTTAACACAAAAAAACGCATCATATTGTAGAGAGACAGGCTGCAGGCTAATGTGCACGGTCACAGCGACCAGTGGGTTGTTTCTAACTGAAAGAAGATTTTGAGTTGCAGTTGAACCAGGAGACGGTGTCCTTAAGGTCCATACTTGCACGCTCACATATCCGCTTACAAACATGCCACTGCACCACTGTGCCAACCGCAGCTGCTCTAGAAATCCCGACTGAGCCAGAGACCACACCCCACTGCCACACTAATTCAACTTAATGTATATGTTGGAGGTTCAGGAAGGGGAACATGTTAATAAAACTAAAGTAGGATGACTTTTTATTTTATTTTATTTAACATGAAGATAATAAATTTAGGAACAGGAAAAGGAGAATAAGACAATGTTTGCCATTCTATTTTTGGGTTGTATTGATTAAATTTACACAGAACAAGGTTTTCATTTAGTCCAGTTTTGCCCAGGCTAGATGGAAAGAAGTTTTTACACATATTCCTTTTTCCCTCTTTTGCTGAGGAAAACTCTTCCTCAACACAGCATGACACTTCCACCACCATGTGGTAGCTTCTACCACACAGAGGTTTGTGAAGAGACCCCCCCCCCAAAAAAAATATTTGGCACGCATGAACAGTGAGCCAACATATAAATAATCGTGATGATGATGCATCGTGATTCTAATTTTCATGATCTACTGCATCGATTCTTGACACCAAGTATCGATTATTAATTTAAAAAAATGAGTAAATAAAATTGCATGAATGGTTGGCGAACATCAGCCAAAAACAAGTGTAATACAACTTCCAGTCCAGTAGATGTCGCTGCGGATGTGTTGATGCACACTGCCTTGTGTCACAAGCATTTCTACTGCGCCGAATCATTCAAAAACAAAACATGGAGGAGAAAATATTGCAATGCATCGCAATAATTCAAGTATCGTGATGCATCGTGATAGAATCGCATCGTGGCCTGTGAATCGCGATTCGAATCGAATCGTGACTTCTTTGGCAATACCCACCCCTAGCCAACATACATGTCAGATGCAGAACTCTGAGTATTTCCTGAACTTTACAGAAAACACATGATTTCAAGCCTTAAAGCCTTTTTTTAGCCTTAAAGTGCTGCTCAACAAAATTTTAGTTCAGCAGATATATATTTTTATATACATCTGTCTCTAATGGAAGTGTATGTAAATTTTCAAGTACAACTGTATTTCTGCTTCAATTTTTAATTCTGCCAGTTTTGGGCCCTCCACAGTTCAACTCTCCTTTAGAGAAATGTAATTTCCCTGTTTGGGACAGTACACCAGAGAACACTTAATATATGTGTTATTACTCTGTAAGGAAGTAGGTGCCTTTGATCCAGCACTACAATTGTCTTTGCTTAAGGTTAATATACCATTCATTTTCCTGGTCAATTTCCCAATAAAAATAAGACATTTTACTATTGTGGGACAAATAAAGAAGGAAACAATAACAGGAAACAATAACCTAAGACTAAAAGTGCAATGTCATCATTTTCTATTTCTTACACTGCCTGAACTGGAACATATTTCTTATTCTTGCTAGCAGCACAAGATTCCCAGCATAAGGGCTGAGAGGAGGAACAAACCTGTAGCTGTAAATGTGAATCTGAAATATAAATCTTTTTTATTTGATAAAAAAACACATTGTGTTCAAGAATAAGACTGAGTTTAAAGAGTTCATCCAGAACACAATCCTTCCTTCTGTCCCTACTCACCCGACTCCTTTTCTTTAAATTAAATAACAGACAGCGAGAGCATCTGGTAGCAGTTATCTCACAAACCAAACTTTTTTTTTTTTCAACCCTGCTGTCTTTCCCCTTAGCATTTTCTTATAAAAAAAAAAAGACCTCCTAAACAAAACACAAACAAGGCCCAAATTACATTTTACAATACAACCCAAACTAAGATAGGGGTCTACTCCCCCACAGGCCCGTTCAGGTGAACCCGCTTTACGAGCATTCTTCAGATGGGGAGAAAAGTTAAGGGGGGAGTTGAAGTTAAAGAGGAAGGGCAGAAAATGGAGGAGGGGGACAATGATGTTGACACTCCCTTTCCTAATAAACCATTTCCCTCAACCAATCGACAAGGACTTGAGCAAGAACTGATCCAACTCCTTGCTAGCTGTAAACTGGAAGCGGCTGCAATGATTGCTTCAGGCTGCCTGTTTGGCTTTAAGGAGAGAGCGCAGCTCACATATGGCTTGACTAGCCTAACACTTTTCACCCCACAGTTGAAGAAGAGGTTAATCGGGGAAGGAGTGAGATGCCTCTTCGAACACAGTCAAAACTACCCTCCTTGACTTGGGTCTAACCGAGCTGTGGATCTAGTTTCAGTTGCTTTCATTTCACTCTCCTCTCTCTTGTTTTGGGCAATCCAGCTAAATATTTCAGCAGTGGAAACATGATTGTCTTGTTGAGCGGCGACTGTCTATATTTAGCTCGACAGGTAGGCAGAAAAAGCCAACCTACCTGTTGGGCTTCATCCCACCACCGTGTCAGCATGCAGTATGTTGACCTTTAACAAACACTTAGGATTACAAAAGTGGCATTGAAATCTAACTGGTCTAACTGCAGTGTTTTACATTAAATGAGGCGACTGCAAGAATCATGGAGTAAAGTTAGTCTGCACTTGACTTGGGGAAATAATCCAAACACCAGTGTGAAGACAATTTCCTAGAGAACCTTATCTCTCAGCAGAAACCACTTCCCTTGACTAACCCTGCGCTGTCAGTACCGGTGCCAGACAGAAGCAGCATCAAGACCAGGGAGTCATATTTCAAGTTGGGGAAACAATCAGCCTGTCCTTTCAGCTCTGTGACATTAGGAGCAACTGTTCAGCTTTTCAGCTATTAATTTTAAACTGAACTTACTGAAATTCTAATTTATCATCCCTGCTGCACATCTTTTTTTTGTAGAGCACTGTGAGCCTTAGACAGAGGAAGCATTCAAAGAATGTAATCTATTCAGAAAGCAGAGACAAAAAATGCCAGTTGACAAAGACTGGACAGTCATCAAAATGGCATGCAAAAAAAAAAAGCCCTCCTTACCCATTATTTAGTTTCCTTTTGAAGTCATGTAGCCACACCCATATTTTCTATAATTAAAAGAAGGGATGAGTGGGTATTGTTAAGTTGTAAGTAGCAGACTGTGCATGTATGAGATGTAAGGAATGGGAGGCGGGGCTTGATCTGGGTTTTCCTTCTTCATGGAGTTGAATGATGAGCGCGGGAGCGCATGTTGTAAACTGTTAATGGCGACCATTAAAGTGTGGATATTAACGTCAGCAGTGTGATTATTGAGCCAACATTGGTAGCAGAGGATGGCCGCTGCTGGAAATTACAAAGTTCCCCCACCGTTCGACGAGAAGACGTCTTACGAAAGTTGGAAAAATGAAATTGAAATCTGGAGAATTGTTACCGACTTGGACAAAAAGAAGCAGGCCCTGGCGGTTACCCTGTCGCTATCAGGAAGAGCGAGAGAAAGCGCGCTGGAAATCGCTGCGGAACATCTCAACGTCGATACAGGAATGAGTGTTCTTTTAGACAAGTTGGATTCAGTGTTTTTAAAAGAAGAAAAAGATCGACAGTACGAAGCTTACACAGAGTTTGACCGGATCCACAGACGCGGCGACACGTCCATGATGGATTACATTATCGAATTTGAACGACGGTACAACAAGTTATGTAAGTTCAAAATGGAACTACCGGATGCAGTGTTAGCATTCAAGCTATTAGACACCGCGGGGCTAAACGTTAAAGACAAACAGCTAGCTCTTACCGCCTGTTCCACTGTAACTTTTGACAACATGAAATCAGCTTTGAAAAGAATCTTCGGTGATAATGTCTATCCTCCACAAGAGGGCGACTCAGCCTTTTTCACCAAATACACAGGCAAGCGTGAACGGAGTTCAAACTCAGAGCAAAGCTCAAGAACAGCTGCAGGGACTAATCCACTCGACAAATACGGGAGAAGAACTAAATGTGCAATATGTCAGAGCACTTTTCACTGGGCAAAAGACTGCCCCAATAAAAGAGAACATGTGAAGCTAACAAATGTTGAGGGATCAAAAGACAACGTTGAGGAATGTAATATTACTCTGTTTTCAGACGAATCCACATCTGACACACAGATCTTCATGGTAGAAGCTTTGGGATCTGCTGTGATTGACACTGCCTGTACAAGAACTGTGTGTGGTGAAAAATGGCTTGCAGATTATGTAAGTGGATTGCCTCAGAGAGAATTAATGTAGATTAAAGATGAAAAAAGTGCAAGACCTTTCCGGTTTGGGGATGGAAAACTGGTGCAATCCACAAGAAAGGTGACTATTCCTGCAACAATAGGAAAAACTAAATGCAACATTGAGACAGAAGTAGTTCCAGCAGATATACCGATGCTTTTGAGCAAAACATCACTGAAGAGAGCGAGTGCTGTTTTAGACATTGCTCAAGACAAAGCAA